GGGGGGGGGGGGATGTCCTGACCTTGAGGGAAAAGCTTTGGGATACAGAGAGCGAGCGCGCACAGGCGGTTTTCTTCGTCCCTGGAGGGGACGCAGATGCTACTTTACCTTTGTGGACATTACAAAAAAACACCAAAAACAAATAAAAATAATAATGCAGGTGGCAGGGGGAAAGAAGTAAGGGGCGAAGATCCCGCCAGGAGAAACCAGCAGGCAGGCAGGTGTGAGGCGGCTGGCTCCTTGCCTGGCGAAGGGGGCCAGCCAGGGCAGCCCCTCGAAGCGCTCTACTCACTCTGAGAGGAGGCGGTCGCCAGCAGGACCAGCAGAAGGGCAGCCGCTGGAGCCGGCGGCTGCTGCATGATGCGGCGGCGGCGGCGGCGGCTGCTGAGGCTTGGGCTGCGCCCTCTGCCTGGCCGGGAGGAGCAGGGCGGTCTGGTGCCGGAGGAGGGAGCGCCGCTACTGTGGGAGGCAGCGAGGAGTCTGCCGAGCCCAGCGGGCGCGCCTTTGAGCCAATCAATTGAGAAAGTTCGCGCTCGGGCTTTTCAGCGCCGACGACACACCTCAGGCCGCTTCCCCCGCGCAGGCTGGCCAGCCGCTCACCGCGGCGGGGGGATGGATGGAGGGCAGGAGTGAATAGGGACCTCGGCAGGAAGAACAGCCGGGTGACCCGCTGAGGGACACGATGCCCTCCAGCGCCTCTCGGCCCGCTCCGGGGCTCTCTTGTGCGTGGCTCCTCGGATCCTTTGGAAAGTTGTCCCTTGCCCTGCAGACTTGCGCTTTCAGGCATGACAGCAGTGATTCCCGCACGACGGAAAGGAATTCTTTGGCTGAAGTAACATTCCTCCCTCCGGTTGCATGGACTGACACACGTTTGCGAATCGGGCACGTTTACATCCCACCTGCCCTCCAAATGGATTAGGCGGCAGAGTTTTCTCCCCTCTTCTGTTTTGTCTTCCCGACAGCCCTGTGAGGTAGGTTAGGCTGGGAGAAAGTGACTGGCTCAAGGTGACCCCATCCGGTTCTTGGCTGAGTGGAGATTAATTTTGAGCTAAGGTCTCTCCCCCCCCCCCAACTCACAGTGCAGCACTATAACCACTATGCCCTGACTCTGTAGTTTATTTATTTGCTTGTAGTCCATCTTTCTCTCAGGGACTCAAGTCAGATTACAAAGAGTGACTCAGTGTGGGACATTCGGTGTAACCAATGCATTAGGATTTTAGAAGTCTGGAACCACCACAAAGAACTGAAGCACAGCATAAGTATTAAACACCACACATGAAGCAGTACAAGGTTTACATAGAAGGATCCTTCCTGCTAACAATAAGCTATACATACCAGTATAGACCACAGTCCATAATCAAGTAACAAGACACAGTTTGAGTCCAGTGGCACCTTTAAGACCAACAGAGTTTTATTTAAAGTATAAGCTTACGTGTGCAAGCACCAGGGCTTTTTTTCTGAAGGAATGTGTGGGAACAGAGTTCCGGAACCTCTTTGGTAAAATTCTTTTTAAAATGTTTAAACGTTCATGAGTTTTCAGTATACAGATTGAAAAATTCATTTCCCTCTTGAGAGTTCCGGCACCTTCCCCCTCGCCCCAAAAAAGGCCCTGGTAAGCACACATCTTCAGATACAGTGAAACAGAATTTCCTCAACCATTACATATAGGTGGGGGGGGATTAGTTACCATAAGGGCTAGTTAGACTCAAGATGCATAAGTAGTCCTGACCTGGATAGCCCAGGCAAGCTCTGTCTTGTCAGATCTCAGAAGGTAAGCTGGGCCGACCCCACAAATAATTGGAAGGGAGACCTCCAAGGAATACCAGGGATCAGTACGCAGAGGCAGGCTATTAAGTCACCTCTCTGAAAAATATCTAAGCCCCTGGTAGGGGCTGACAGAAGCCACCGTGACTTCCAGGCATGCAAGCACACACACACAAAAATACACACACACCACACACAACAAGATGCATAAGTAACTGGGTGATTATTGCTGAAATTGAATTAAGGGGATGCTTTTAAGATCTGTGAATGGCAGTAAATTAGCATACAATTATAAGAGTGAAGTGGAGGAGGAGAGGAGATTGGATTTATACCCCACCCTTCACTACCCAAAGGTGTTTCAGAGCGGTTTACAAACTCCTTTCCCCTCCCCTCCCCACAACAGACACCCTGTGAGGTAGGTGGGGCTGAGATAACTCTTGACAGAAACTGCTCTTTTTCAAGAACAGCTGTGCCAGAGTTATGGCTTGCCCAAGGTCATCCAACCAGGTGCAAGTGGAGGAGTGGGGAATCAAACCCGGTTCTCCCAGATTAGAGTCTGAGTCTAGTGGCACCTTTAAGACTGTACTGAACTCAAAACTTCATTCTCACATCTGTTTGTTAACTTTTCTGTTTGTATGGTAATTTACTGCCATTCACAGATCTTAACAACTGCCTCAATCCAATCTTGGCTATAATTGCCCAGTTACTTATGCATCTTGATACTAACTAGCCCTTCCTGGCCACTAACCCCCCTCCTCTTCCTATATGTAATGGTTGAGGAAATTCTGTTTCACTGTATCTGAAGAAGTGTGCTTGCACCTTGAATAAAACTTTGCTGGTCTTAAAGGTGTCACTGGACTCAAACTTTGTTCTGCTGCTTCAGACCAACACGGCTACCCACCTGAATTAACTTGTACAGTGCATTTGCTACATGTTCACATTGTGCTGTATACCTGAGTTAAAAATTTGTGTGTGCAAGCATCACAAAAGGACTGCATGCACACTTTTCTTCAAAGAGCCTGAAATTGGCCACAATTTCCCAAACGTGTGCAGATTTCCTGGCGTAGGTTTATCGCTGATTGTAAAAACATGGCTACGTTCATTGATATTTCCGGAACAGAGTCATTTAGAAGACGGTGCACTTTTAAAGCATCAGGAAGGTTCGTCATGTTGGCTAAGATAGGATTTAAATATCTAGAACGTAAATCCACATAAAATTGACAATGCAAATAAATATGTGAAACAGTTTCAATGCACCCAGAGTTGCAATGGCAAAGTCTATCCACATATACGCTGTTGTTATATCTCCCATGCAAGATTGCTGATGGTATTACATTGAATCTTGCTAGAGAAAAGGCTCTACGCAGTTGCGGTGCTTGTATGCCAGATAGATATGGGGCCATTGAAGTGGTCCTAATGCATATGTTCCATAGTGGCATCACATGAGTTAAGGGTGGGTTGGTTTTTAAGTGATGAAAAGAATGTTCTTTAATCTGGAAAGCAGTACTTGTGAATGTATTTAATGTGGTACAAAAACTGGAAGAGGAGCATTGTTAAATTATTCCAATTAAAGCCGTTTTAAAGTATATTAAGGGGGGAAATTCACAAGCATCTCACATGCAAATATTTTGATGATGGAGCATATCTTTGAAAGGCGCATCATATGTTTGAATGGCACTGAAGCTAACCAGGTCTTAAGACACAGCTGTAGCCAGCAGGGGGCACAGGAGGTCATGCCCCCAGTGAATCTGCAGCGCCCCCACCCGAATCTTCATCATTCTTCAACTTTTAATCTTGAAGCATTCAGTATTGAAGTAGCCCAGTGTTGCTTAAGCTGTGTCTGCTCCAAGCCCTTCCCCTCTGCCAAGCCAGATGAGAACCCCCTGCAAGGAGAGCCAAGCCCGCTGCCTGGCCTGACCAGGGTCTCCATGTTGACACCGCTCCAGCCACCTGGACAACAGCTGCCTGTGTTTGGAATGCACACAGCAGCCTGCTTCCCGCCCCTTAGAGAAAGGAGGGCACACATTGAAAGAGCTGCTGGCAGGGTGTCACGTAACCGGGGGTGGGTGGGCAGAGAGGCCAAGATTTTTTGTTTGTGTTTTGCTTTCATTTGTACATTTGTGGGTGCTGGATTTGCATTGGGTTTCCCTCTTTTTCCCGAGGAGACCCTGGTCAATTAAAGTGAGTGGCAAGAGATGCAAAGCCCAATAGAACTGATTTTTAAAATTTAATCTAGCCAACTTAATCAATTTAATTTAATTTAAATTTAAACTAACTAAATAAAATAAAAAACATATTGTAATCAGCTTGATAATCATTATTGTATGGCATTGTGTGTAGAATAGCCAGGAGATTCTTAAGATTGTCTGGCAACCAAATCTTCTAGTTCTTTTAGCGTTATGTACCACTAGGTGGTGAGTGAGACTTGTTTTTAAGGCAAGAGACGTTTCAGAGGAGGCTAGCCATTGCCTGCCTCTGCGTCATGCCCTTGTTATTCCCTGGAGGTCGCCCTTTCAAATACTAGTCAAAGCCAATCCTGTTTAGATTCAGAGATCTGGTGAGATCGGGCTAGCCTGGGCTATCTAGGTGAGGGCTGTAATCACCTTGATTGGAGGGGAATGCTTAGGGGCAGAACGTTAGCATCTGTAGTGAGATAAGAATCCTATGCATGAGAAACCTTAGCATCCTTTACAAGCATTCTCTATAACACCCTTCTTGCCTTCTGACTAGGGCTGCCAAGCTGCAGCGGGGCATCCATGTGTCTTCACAGGATCCCTGCTGTGGGGGGCCAGTGATACACGTTGCACCGCCGTCGCCAGGATGTGACGCTACACGTCGCTCTGGCAATGGGACTCCAAACAGCCCCGTTGCCAGAGCGACGCGTAGCGTCACATCCTGGCGACGGCGGTGCAACGTATCACTGTCCCCCCGCGGCAGGGATCCTGTGAAGACGCACGGATCCCCCGCCGCAGCATGGCAGCCCTACTTCTGACTGGAATATAAAGACTCAGATCTCTGTTCCTACTCTTATCTGATGAAGGGAGCTTTGACTCTCAATAGCTTATACCCTGAAAATCTTGTTGGTCTTCATAGTGCTACTAGACTCGAATCTAACTGTTCTAATACTGACCGACACTGCTACCCTCTGAAACTATAAGGCTGATATGTTACGGTGCAAAGCGTTTGTATTCCTTAAGGCACTGCCCTTTGCTAAACAAAACAAAACATTTCTGTCAGTTAAGAAGTCGTTATATTCCTTTTTGATGGGTAACAAGCCGAGACTAGAGCTACAGTTCTTCCGTGTATACATAGCTTGCTGTAAGCCCCACTGAACTGAGTGGGACAGGGACTTATGCCCAAATAAACATGCTTGGGGATTGTGTTGCACTTTTCTTCATAAATAAGACAGTGCTCCCACACTTCACCATTTTACATCTCTGTAGCTGGCCCAGGCTGTCAGCAGATCAGTCAGAAAACAACCTAATAAGACAAGACAGTAGTGCTTATCATAATTAGCAGGAAACTATCAACTATTTTTTTTATAAGAGAACCATTTCTTATGCAGTAGACAAAATATTTGAAATATTTATAGCAATCTTAGGTAATTGGAGATCTCTAATGCTAAAAAAAAAAAGGTGAAAAGATAGGCTTTTTTAGCCTGGTGCAGTTTGGGAATGTTTCAAAATATGCTTTAGAAACATTCCAATCTGGAACTTGGTGTTTTAGCTT